CTCCAATTTACTCTATTCCAAGATGTAGTGAACTGTATTTAAATGAAAAAGTGAGAAGGAGAATCAAAAAATATGAAAGAGGATGAAAAAGTAGAAAAAAGGATGGGGGTATATATATATATATATATATATATATATATATATATATATATATATATAGAAAAAATCTAAAAATGAAAAGAAAGATAGCTATTTAAGAACAACAAAAAATGGAATAAGAGACAAATATTGAAGAATTTTATTACAAAATAAAAAAGAATTATATGAAAATATACTTAAAAAGTTATTTTCAACAATTTTTGCCAATTCAATTCAAAAAATAGTTCCAATTTTAGTTATTATACAAGAGGATGTGGTTACCAGGCCCGGTCCTGACAAATGAGAGGCCCTGTTCAAAAGAAAAATCGGAGGCCCTAATATTTAATACAAAAAATACTAATAATAAAATAAAAAAGTAATATCATATTTTATAATTATACTACATACTAAAATGCAATTCTTCTTTGACTAATACACCAAGAGCATCAAAATCACATCCAATATTTTGAAATTAAACTACATTTATTTAAATAATGATATCCTTCTAAGATTCTTTGAAATAAAGTCATCGATAAGGTCTTCATATGCAATCTTCTCCAATATGTCGCTCTCAACAATGCCATCAACATTATCATTAGCAGTTGCACCAAGATCATCATCAACAACATTAACAGTTGCACCAACACAATCATCAACATCAACATCATTATCAGTTGCACCAACAATATCATCAACATCAACACCACCGCTAGCACAAGTATTTTCATTCGCAAAAACACTTTGTGGTTCTCTTGTAACAAATTTTTCTAAAGCTCCTTTTTGAGATAAAATAAACTCATCTGTTTTTTTTTTCTTCATTCGTTTTTCATATCCGGATTCATATTTTCTAACTCTTGGAGCCATTTTCAAATATCAATTTATTAAATTCTAATTTATAAATTATAAGATGTAGATGAATCCAAAATTCCAAATTAACAATTACAAAGTATGATTGTATGAACTAGGAAATGTGAATGGGATTATGGGAACAAAAACACCTGAAGATTGAATTGAAGTCCTGAAACAGTCCAAACAGATTGTGTGCCAAACTGCCAATGCCCATCTGCCACCGCCCCACGCCCCCACCCTCAACTCGGCCCCAAGTCGATCACTCCTCAAGTTCGGCTGCTTCAGCTTCCCTACTGCAGTGCTGCGCAGCGACCAGCAGTCCAGCAGACACAGTAGGCGATTTCACCGATTTGCTCAACTTGAGAAGACATATTAGCACTGCTAGGCAATTTGCTCAACTTGAGAAGAATAGAAGGTATTTAAGATTAAATTTCATACCTCTCCGACCGTCCGACTTTTAGTAGTTTCGCCCAATTCGCCGCTTCGATTTCTCTCATTGCAGATTCGCACGTTCGTCCGCCTTCTTGGTCTTCGTCCGTTCGTCGCTTCGATTTCTCTCATTGCAGATTCGCACGTTCTTCAGTCTTCTTGGTCTTCGTCCGTTCGTCGCTTCGATTTAGGCATTTAGCCATTCCACGCGGTACATCGTTACTAACGGAAGTAAAGAGGCGGACGGTTTTTAGAATTTATTGGATCAGGCCTTTTTCGAATTATTAGTTATTACTCTTTACTAATGGGCCTAGGTATACTACTACACTTAAAAAAATTGGGGGCCCTCCAAAATTGGAGGCCCTGTGCAGCTGCTCCAGTTGCACCTGGGCTGGGCCGGGCCTGGTGGTTACCAAGCAGGCTCAATATTAATACAATACTTTGATAATGTAAGACCAGCGTGGGAATGAATAATCTTCCTTTACAAATGATGGCTTGAAAGTCAAAGTCAAGTCAAAATAAAATCTTGCAATTAGAATGAGCCAAATTTGCAACCGGATTACTTCTCGAGAATTACTCTAGCCCTGGTTAGAACACTTTTTACATTTAATAATGCACAATTTAATCATTAATATATTTAACCAAGTCATAGTAAAAAATATAAAAATCATTTTTTGAAATTTTATTACTTTGAGACAAATTTTATAATATGTTTTATAATGTTATTTTTTCAATATATTAGTGAAAAATGTAAAAACAAAGAGTGTCAACCAGGTATGAACCCATTGATGGGTGGACCCTGTGTGAAGGTCCGTGTTGAATTTTGGTAAGCTCGATCTTTGTCTAACCAAGAGTTAGTGAGAGAGCCTTGACTCCTCTCATCGTGTGCAACGACATTACATAGAATCAATGTGTTTTTGGAATTAGATAAGTCACAAATAATGAGTTTAAACCAGTTCCTATACAGTGGGATCATCCCACGGTGAGCACCGTGCTCCTGATCCAAAACGACGCAGTTTTGCAACGCTTTTTAATTAAAAAATTCTCGGGTGAACAGTACACGCGTGAACAGTACTTCTTTTTTATTTTTCTCTTGTTCCAGTAACAGAATGATGTAACTCACGTGTAAAGACATGTAACTAACGTGATTGATGAATGTAACTCAAGTCTAGTCGAAATGTAACTAGTTCAATACATAACATAAGAAATAAAAAATTGATTTCAATGGAAAAAAGGAGTCTAATTGTCCAACTATTTAACATAAATTGTGTATATGTCTTGTTTTTTATATCAGTGCTATAAAAATGATTTTTTATGAAAATGATTTTTCTTTGAATAACATGAGCTTATTGTGTTGTGTAACTCATATTATATTCAAGTGTAACTCGTATTATGCAAAATGTAAATCACGTATAAGGAAGATGTAACTTGCTGGGCAAAGTTGACAGACAAACTCTAAATGTAACTCGCGCACATGAATGGTGTAACTCGCGCACACAAAAATGTAACCGTAAGTATTTTTGAATGTAACTTGAGCACATATCGATCTTCTTCTCCCTGCAATTTTTCAAACTCGACGGCGGTTCCTTAGATTTAGTCGAAGTCGTGCGATGGTGATTGGTGATAGGCGCGACAATGACAGATCTTCTTGCCAGCCTCCGGATTTGCTCGTACGGCGGCGGTTTTGATTGTTTGGGATGGCTGGTTCGGCCGATTTCAGTTTCTAGGGTTCCGATTTTGTCGACGACGGCCGCAACCCTATAAGTACTCTCACAATCCGGTGATGAATGCCTGACCTGGAGTTCAAGGAAGGGTTGGGAAGTAGTTAGGGCAGTATTTGTGGTTGGATTTGGGGTAGTCACTGGTGGTTGTCAACAGAGGGGCTGAGGAGGTTCTGGCGGTGGTAGGACATGCAAGGGAGAGGGGAGTGGCTAGTGGGAACGTGGATGGGGCTAGGGGGAGGGACAGGGTTGGTTTTCTTTTTAATTAATAAAACTACACCGTTTGGGATCGGCACACCATGCGCAAGGTGGGCCGATCCCACGGTATAATTTGCGAGTTTAAACCCTCACTCTCAAACTCAAAGTCGTGGCCTCGTGGGTAAACTTAAATTTTAAGGCAAGTTTATCCTGTTACCTAGTACTTATACTCAAATCAATTGAATACTCATTAAATAATGTAATTGAAAAATTTCTAAGTGTTACTTAGGATGTTTTCTTTTGGATTGTTTTCAATCCCAGAATAGATTAGACTAGACCAGTTCAGTCTAGATCAGACCTAAACAGACCAAACCAAACTTAAACAAACCAAAGCAGACCAGACTTGGACAGTTAGGATATTTTCTTTTGGACTGTTTTCAGTACTAGACCAGACTTTAACAGATCAGACCAACCAGAGCAGACTTTAACAGATTAGACCAACCAGACCAGACTTTAACAGATCAGACCAAACAGACCAGACTTTATCAGACCAGACCAGATCAGACTCAGACATTTATAAAATACACAGAGACCAGACATTTACCAGACCAAATTAGACCAGTTCTGACCTGACCAAATTAAACTTAAACAGATCAGATCAGACCAGGCCAAATCAAACCAGACCAGTAAATTTCAGTTCAAAAGAAAACATTCTTATAAAATACACAGAGAACAGACGTTTACCAGTTCAGACCAAATCATACCAGACTTATATAGACAAGATCAGACCAGACCAGTAAATTTTAGTCCAAAGGAAAACATCCTTAACACTTGATTTAAAGCAACACAACGCATTACTCAAGCAATTTGAGTTAAAAAGGAATAAAAAGGACCAACGAAAAAATGACAGATCTATATGCTTCTTTTTACTCATTGTATTTTACTTATTAGTATTGATATATAATACTAGAATAAATTCCACTTTTGGTTCTTCGAGTTTTAGGTCAATTTCACATTTAGTCTACATCTTTCACTTTGTCCACTTTTAATACACGACTATTGGGTTTTAGCCCATATATGGTCCTTCCGACATTGTTTCCCATGCTTAAAATCGCAGGAAAAGGATTACAAACGGTTTAAAAACATTAGTCAAGTACCAAAAATGGACAAAATAAAAGACGTGGACTAAAGGTGGAATTGGCACAAAACTCATAGGACCAAAAGTGGGATTAATTCTATAATATTACTATATAATACTAATAATTTTTTAAAAAATTGTGGCCCCATAAACTTGGAGGCCTTTTCTGTATAATCGGTTAAACCTTATAAAAACTCATCTGCTCTTCCGAAGTTTATAGGGATAATAAAGTTTTTAAAAATAATTAGATATTTATGACAAAAATAAATATTGTTTACCCAAATGTGACTAGTAACTAGAATAGTAATAAAATCATAGCAACTTATGTTCAATTTTTAAACTTGAATTACCATAACACTACATTGTAATAACTATTAGTTATATGGGTGTAAATATGTTTTATTTTAGTAATATTTTTGAAAAAACCCAAAATTTTATTTAGGAAATATTTTCATAAAGTGAGCTTATTTTTGGAGTATATAAAAAATTGAGAACTTAACTTAGGCGCCAAAAGAGTATAAAATTAATATGAAAATGATAGATAGAAGTCGTAGATCCAGAAAAGGAGAGAACGAACTGACTGGGATTGTGACATATCGAATAAGAAGCAAGGCCTCCACATCTTCCGGGATTGCGCATTAGCAATGGAGGTGTGGCGCAACAGAGGGGGAAGCATGGTGCGCAGATTAGCGACCAACTTCAAGGAGTGGGCTGCGGCAATAACTACTAGCGGGTCAACGAACGGTTTTAGTAGTTTTATTATACCTATTGGAGTTTGTGGAAGGTTAGGAATGATAAAACTTGAAAGAATATAAATCCAAATTCAAAAGGAGTCTTGGCGTGTGGTGATGTTGTACTCACGGGGTGGATAGAAGCCAACAAGCAGTGATGGGCAAGGCCTCCACATCTTCCCAATGGCGAATGATTCTCGAGTAGACCATCCAGCAAAGTGATGGGCAAAGTTTGGGACTTGTAGATTGTAGCTCGGGATGAGAATGGTCTGTTTGTTGCAGGTAAAGGTGTGCGTAGAAAGGAGCAATTTTCCCCAATCCCCGGGTTTGACGGAGCCCATGGCTAATGAAGAGGAGCTCACCTAAGCTCACGAGTTGGGATGGAGGCAAATTAGTGGAATCTGATACGTAGTACATTGCACGTAGTGCAACTGTGCAAGGAATCACGCGAGAGGATGACCTTCACTCCAACGATATTATTTTTGGAAGTATTAGACATATGATGACAAGTTTTGCCAATGTACATGTCAAGTATGTGCCCCAAATCCCAATTGTCCATATTCTAACTAGGGAAGCCTGTTCTGGGTTTGATGGGTTTTGATCAGGTTATCCCCATTTTGTATTTCTCATGTACTGACCTTGAGTATTAATGAAGTTATTTGATTCACAAAAAAAACAAGGTAACATGATGTCTCACACACATAGGGAAACAATGTGGCTCATCTTTCATTCTCTTTTTGTAACACCCGGCCCCGCAGGGCCCAAGGTCAAATATTGTCACAAACTTATGGCCTAAACTTATTACTCGCATCATCTTAGATTCTTAGCAGGTACATATACGAATTGTCAGTCATGATAAAAACTAGAGAATGATCAGGATACAAGTAAAATTAGATGCAAAAGGCAGTTGCATTGTTCACATGTCCATCTATACCTTCAAGCACATGTGCACAACTATCAAATGACAAATCCATGATATTTTGTTTAAGTATCTGGCATATATACATGTCCACAATAGCATAATAGAAGGTTATTCAGGTTTTGATGAAATTGCCTCCAAAATTTTATACAGCAGGGACTTTTTCCCATCTTCAATAAAGAAAACTGTAGACTCAGGAACCTGAAAACAGCAGACAGGAAAAAGCTTTAGCACTTATGTATAATAAAGATTCCGAGGCTCTCTTACGCAGTTGGATCACCTGATCACTACAAATTATAATTATAGAAGGCTCCATAATTAAAAATGAATGGTGATGCACATTAGTTAGTGGACCCAAACGGGAGCTTCTCTCTGGCTCCTTTAAACTACTCTATAAAATGCACCACATATTAAGATAAGGCAGGAGGCAGAATCAATATATATAGAAATTAAACGCTTAAAATTCAAAGGACGTATAATCACAAAAAGGCCTAGCCTTGCTGATACAACCACTAAATAGATGTGAAGCACCTAAAACTATATTCCATCTGTTAGAGATGCAAAAGCCCATTAGTTGTGAAATGAATTCATGCACTTCTTTGTATGAAGTAGCAATCAATCCATGCAATTTTCGACGCGATTTCATTATAGGTCAGTCGGAAACAGTCTCTTTGTGCTTTAATATAGGGGTAAGACTGCGTACATCTGATCCCCTAACCCCAATGTAGATGGGAGCCTTTGTGGCACTAGGGTAATGATGATGATGTGAAATGAATTCATATGGTGGCTATGGTTGCAAATCTGTACATACCATTATGGCACAACTCTTTTGCCGAGAAGCACATCTAATGAAACTAATTTCCCATGGAAAGCAATCAAAAGTGCTCAAAACTTTATTCAAATTATCAATTGATTTTATCTGTAAACCACATGCTCTTTCAAAGAGATTCCTCACATGAAAATATCAGCTCTCATTATAAAGGCAAGTCTTCATGCAAAAAGTAGTTGTAAGTGGAACTGGGAAGGATATTGATCAGAAAATTCTTAAAGCACGATAGGGAGTAAAAAAATGCTAGTTCTATTGGACGAAGAAGAAATTAAGGAACAGAATATTTTTGTATTCTTCTTGCCTTGCAATACGTAATACAGTCCATGATTTATACAAGAGCTAATCTAAAGTTGGAAATAAAATAAATAATATACATACAATAAGGAAAGAATATATATTCTTGCCATAATAAGATAATGTGTAACACCCTCCTCAAATTGGAGCATGAAGATTTGAAATGCCCAACTTGGAAAGTAGATACTGAAACTGTCGTCGGCCAAGTGCTTTGGTGAGTATATCCGCAAGCTGAGAGGATGTGCGAACATAAGTCGGTGCAATAGTACGGCGAAGAATTTCATCACGAACGAAGTGACAGTCAATTTCGATATGCTTGGTCCGTTCATGAAAGACAGGATTATTAGCAATGTGAAAAGCAGCTTGACTGTCACAGTATAATGGAGTAGGAGTAGTAGGAGAGATGCTGAGTCCACGAAGGAAATTCTTCAACCAAAGAAGTTCACATGTGGCGGCCGCCATAGCACGATATTCTGCTTCAGCGGAAGAACGAGATACGATCGCCTGTTTCTTGGTCTTCCATGAGATAGGAGACCCGCCAAGAAATACAAAATATGATGTAATGGACCGACGACTTAAAGGGCAACTAGCCCAATCTGCGTCACAATAAGCTTCCAAAGTTAATGGAGAATCAGCCCGCAACAAAATACCTTGGCCCGGACAGGATTTTAAATAACGAACAACTTTGAGAGCCGCTTCCCATTGGGTCGTGGTAGGTTGATGCATGAATTGTGCCAAAATGTGTACAGAGTAGCATAATTCCGGCCGAGTGTTGGTGAGATAAATAAAACAACCAACTAACCGTCTATAACGAGCTGGATTGGTCATAGCAGTATCAGAAGCGAGTGCCAAGGAATGATTTTCTTCCATGGGAATACTAGCTGGTTTGGATCCCAGTAAGCCGGTTTCAGTCAAAATATCGAGAGCATATTTTCTCTGGCAAAGAAAGATCCCGGTAGAATTACGTGCAACCTCGAGACCCAAAAAATATTTCAACTTTCCCAAATCTTTCACATGAAAGCATGAGCCAAGATATGCTTTGAAATCAGCAATAGCAACACTATTGTTTCCCGCAATAACAAGATCATCAATGTATATCAAAACATGAAGAGAAATATCATTCTTATTGTAAATAAATAATGAATGATCACACGGACTAGCAGAAAAATCGTATGTGCGCAGAGAAGCAGCTAGTTTGGTGATAGAGTATATCTAGAGAGATGTGAGAGCTAGAGAGAGAAGTGCAATAATATGCTTCAATAGAATGATTTTGTAACCCTGATAACTACCTCCAGAGGAAGTATTTATAGGGAAAATACGGTCTGGGCTCCCAAGCCTTGGGCTTGGGAGGCCCATTTACCACTGGACCACTACTGGGCCGAATACAAAGCCACTAATGGGCTGTACAAATGAGTAAGTGTAAAATCCGGTTCTGTGAGGTCTTCATGGCCGAAGAGGGCGTGGCCGACGAGGGCACGGCCGACGAGAGCACCCGGGTTCCTTGGCTTCAGAACCATATTCTGAGTTGGTACCTTTCCGGCCGACGGGGGTCCCTTGGCCGACGAGGGCACCACTCAGTGTCTTGTGCTTTCTGTTCTTCTGAGTATGTGGGTCCTGGGGCTCAGACCCATATCCTCCATCAGGAGTCCCCCACTCTCTAAGCTGAGACGTAGACGAAGTGAAGGAGAGTAGATTCCCGTGCTTTGGTGCTTTTGGCCGATGCGGGAACTCCCAGGCCGTTAGCTGTTGCGGCGTTGGCGCTGTTTCCATTTTGGTGGTCTTGTTCTGTGCTTGGCCGTTACCTGCTCCTCGCTGTGGACGGGGAGGCCGTTGTTTCCTTGGTGTGTTCGTTTGGGGACGATGAGTGTCCTGCTTCGATGGTGGCCGTTGAAGACGCGTTTTCCCTTTCTTGGACGTTGATGGTTGAGATTTATGTTTGGGCCAATGAGGCCGTTGAGGTTGAACCTTGCTTCGAGGACGATGGGCGTCCTTTCGTTTGGGTGGCCGATGAGGGTGCTTGTGCACTCCTTTTGGCCGTCGCTGATTGGCTTTCGTGTTCCTGGCCGAAGAGCCCATTATGATTAACTGTTGGCGGAGGACGATGAATGTCCTTGCCTTAGGTGGCCTGTTGGCCTTTGCTGATGATGTTATGTGCCTTTGGCCGACGAGGCACCGTGTTGTCCAAAGTACCTGGCCGGAGATGGAGTCACGAAAACCTTGGCGTCGTTGTGATACATGGACGATGTGGCCATGCTTTGTGGTTACATTTGTGTTTGCATTTTTCCTTTGTCTGTATTATTGAGGCCGATGTAGTCCCCCAGTCCCCCACTGTTTCAGGCCGAAGAGAGTGAGGGGTGAAGGAGTTGCTTGAGTCCCTGGCCGAAGCGGCCTCTCCGTAGTGCCCCTGAATCCAACCCTTATGGCGATTTTCTTGCCAAGGTAACCCTGTGGGAGAACCCTTGTGCGCAGATCGCTTGTAAAGAGTTATCATCAGGGGTCGTTACGAAGGCCGATGGCTGCGGGTTCTTTGTTCCTTTGGTTCTGTGGCCGTTACGGGCGTTCATGACGTTCCTAGCCGTTGTCATCTCCTTATCGCTGTGGAGGCATTGGGTGCCTTGGCCGTTGCGGGTGCTTTGCTGGCATTGTGAAGCCGGCAAGCGTATACGCCGTTGTGGGTGCTTGTTGTCCGTGTGATCCGTAGGGTTTTACTCCGCCGGTAGGTTAGTTCACGAGCCCGGCCCATTTCCGAAGGGGTGGCACCTCATTGGCTGCTGGGAAGGTGACCGCTGAGGTGGCCACTAATATGGTGCCACATGTAGTGACCGTTGGAGAGGAGGTCTATAAATACCCATCCCCTTCCGACACAGTAACCTCATTTGCAACCTATGCCCACGAAGTGCTGCTGAAATTTCTAGAGAGAGAGTCTCTGAGGTGTTTGTTCAAGTGTTCTTCCGTTTCTTCAAATATTCAAAGGTCAGTTCTTCACCTGTTCCTTTCATATTTCGTATACTTTGCTTCCTGGGCCTTTGATCTAGTGTTAATAGGGAATTCACACTTAGATCCAAAGTAGAGACCTTTAGGGCGTTAATAGTTGTAAGATGAAGAGCCTGGACGAGGAGTACTACCCCTACGACGATCAGCCCTCCACTAGGTCCCTTGACTACGAGGTGCTTGAGGAGTTTGAGGAGGAAATAGAGCGTCTGAGCCCCTATAAGTCCGGAGAG